ATATATATATATATATATATATATATATTTACTCAATGTGGACTTAAAAGATTGAAAATTAAAAACTGTTGCTTGTTGTGTGGTTGCAAAAACATCAACGAGGCACAGCCAGCATCCTGAACTCCTCGGGGGAATAAGTAAAGCCCATCACACCATCCAAGCTGGGCATTTCTCCTGGAACAGGAATGATGTTGAAGCGTTGAAGAAGAGTTGTAAAGAAAAGGAACAGCTCCATTTTAGCCAGGTTCTCCCCTAAACACACACGTTTACCTGCGGTGAAATGTTTGAGAAAATTGGCTGCTGTCTTCAGTGTATGTGACATTTTTTAATGCAATAAAATATTCCAAGTGTGGATTCATATTTCATGAAAAACAAAAACAGTACAGATGAAAAAGCTTAAAAACAACCTGCTGAAAATGGTAAGAAGGCATCTTTCTTGAGAAACTTTCCATCCAAATCCAGAAAATGCTCAGGGTTAAAGACATCTGGAGTCTCCCACTCGTTTTTATCAAACAGCACAGATGCAATAATTGTAGTGATAGATGTGCCCTGGACAAGAAGAGATAACAGGTTGTTGATCTCAGCTGGGAACAAATGGTACCTGTACTCAGTGATAAAAGGAAAGTTAATCACTCAGAAGGAATGGTTCATTGTGGCTGTAGTTTGGTTCACATGTGGGTCAACAAGAGGTTTGTTAAGGGTAAAACTTTTTTTTACAATGTTTGCAATTTTTTTCAACAATTTCCAAGAAGCTGACACTAGAGGGACCAAAGGAGATAAGTGGTGGCATCAAGTGGACATGGCTCATGCCTCTGAGAATGCCTCATAGACAGCAATACCACCATTTGACAAAGATTGAGAAGGGTTACATTGTGGATTTGGGTAAAGCCTGATGGTTGTATTGCACAACTGTCCAGCTGTGGGATTTACAGATGTCACAATGGCCCATGTGTTGGAAGTGTGCTGTAATCAAAAATTGTGGACTGATATCATATTGTAAGGTGTCCTATTATGTTCTGCATTACTACAAATGGTCATTGTTTGTGTATATGGCAGCAGCAAGGGGAGAATACTAATCCCATGGCATGACAAAACAGATTTACTCCTGATGTCATGGTGTCTGGGACCCATTGTTGTTAGTGATTTTGGGAACCATTGTTGCGCAGCACTACTTTAGGTATAATCTGCAACTTTTCCAACAATCTTTCCCATCTGGAGACATCACACTGCTCAGCATATGGCACGTGTATCTGTGGAACACCTGTGTCATGCTAAGGTCCTGGTGTAACCTGCCAGGCCCACCCCTGATCTTTCTCCAATTGAACAGTTACAATAATTGTGCACCGTCTTGCCACAGGAGGGAATACAAAAAGTAGATGACACTGAATTGCTGCTTGTATCAAGGCTTGAAAATAATGCCATACCCTATTGTCGTTCAAACTGCAAACTCTATCTCTCATTACTTTTAATTATTGCACTACAGTCACATTATTTTTCCACATGTGCAGTTTCATTGAATTTTCACCATTTTTTCTGGGTGCTTAGCTTGCTTTGTCAGTAAGCATATTAATTTACAAAATGTTCAACATGATATTTGTCTTCTGGTTAATATTCTCCTACCTTGGGGATGAAATATCCTCCCAGCATTGTGTCTTTACTGGCCATTTTAGGAAATCCCATGGGAACAATGTTTCCCATTCGTTGGCTCTCATGGATGACAGCGTCAGTGTAGGGTAGGTTGGGTCTATCAGCGATGGTGGGCTGACGAGACTGTCCGATTACTCTGTCTATCTCTGCCTGGACCTTCTCTGAGAGAGAAAGCAGAGCTAAAACTTTATTAAGAAGTCTAAGGTTTATTATCAGCTACCATTCTATAGATTTCATTTTATTTATTTATTTTGCTTCATGTACTGAATAAAAACTAACCCTGTATCTCTGGGTAGTTCATCATGTAAACAAGGGCCCAGCGTAACGTGTTGGCAGCTGATTCTGTTCCGGCCTCAATCAGGTCAAGGGTACAAATCAGCAGTGTTTCAGTACTGAAGCCAGCCTGGGGATCTTCTTTGTGCTAAAGTGTCGTAAAAAAAAAGTTTTGTTATTTTATCACATTATACATTTAGCTAACATAGATTACTTTGATCCTAATCTTACATAGGTGGCAATGATGCCTACATAACAACTAAAGAGAAAAAATTTGCTTCAATTGGTTACAGATTCTCCGAAAACTCATTTCCCCCCTTGATATTATTTGCTGTTTTTTCCATTACCATCCATTTAAGTACAAGATCACAGTTTAATGGTGACTGGATCTGAATAAAAAAAGATAAAGGAAACCAACAATGTTCAGTCAGGTCATCTTGACCGTTTCCAGAAAATGGAAACATTTTAAAATTTTTGTTGAATCTATGGCACCAAGTGATGGGGACAAGTGCAAAATGAGCTATGTTTGGTGTTTGCCCCAATGATGGCCTTAGAGAAAGGCTCTTAGGTTGTTTTCACACCTGATAGTCCAGTAGAGTCCGTTCGGTTGGGGACCAATATTCATGACATTTTGTTTACATTTGAGCTGGTGCGTTTGCATTTACACTGCACTGTGCAGTCGAGCCAACCCGTTGAACCAACCTGTTCCCCCGCTCGCCTATGGGGGTGCTGCACCAAGAACTACTGAAAGAAATGACACAAAAACCTCTGAAGACACTTCTTCTGGAAATAAAAACACAAACGGAGTGGCATCAAGTTTTAGCAGTGTAGTGAACCTGGTCTGACCCTGATCTGACCCTGATGACCTCAAATCTATCAGATGGACAGGGACT